TGTACATATCCGGTGAAAATGGGCACTAGGCACTTTGTTGATGCAGGTGTTTTAATCACGTAGTGGAACAAATGTGTACGTCGGTGGAAACTCATGAGACTTTTACCATCAGACATCTGTGCACTATTTATCTTACAACTAGCAAGCTGTCAAAACTGTGAATACTGCAGTTCCAGTTTGTACAGCTGTCAAGCATACACTTTCGTGCGTTGGTTTTGGTTGCTGTCTTTTGCCTGCCCATTTGGATGAAGTAGTAGGAGATAGACAGGAAAATTGAAGTAGAGTGGAAGAGAAAATGGAGAATTTCAGTGAACTGAGGTTGCAAAGAAACGGAATTATTCGCAGAAATCGATCGTTCAATGCAATTGAAATCAGTCGTGATGTAAAGACAAATGGTAATCTCGAGAGTTGTGAGTGTAAGGTATTGATTTGCAAACATAAAAGTCTCGTGATTCGCAAATATTGTTCAATCAGTTCAGTTCAGTTCTTACAACCATTGACCATGCACTTTCGTGCACACTGTTCCCAACTTTCTTGTAAGTTGACTAGTTATAATAATAATGGTACAGTTTGGGTTTCATTTCAATTTACCAGACACATTGCTAATCAGTTCCCACGAACGGGGAATATAGAAATAAAAATCCGTCAGAGAGTAAAATGAAGTGAGACAGCTTAGCAGTGTTGTGTTGGGACTCAATCACTCCTCCAAGCCAATATGAGAGAGACCTGAGTTATTTATTATATTTCTCACTCGTCTAGACTATTTACCATAGAAACTATGACACAATAATGTTTATAATAAAGAACTCGGTTTATAGATTGACCTGGAGTAGCATAATATCAAGTTCCCCCGAACTAAACGGGGCGATTTTCTCCGAAATTAACTTCCGAAGACTTCAGCTAATCAATGCCAAATCCGTACAGTCATCTATTATAAATAAGAAGGTGATTGTTCATTGATCGCTAAAGTTTTCTTTTAGGTGTACAATACAACGGAATCTGATTAGAAATGATGATCAATCTATTTGTCCAATAAGCGTACTCCAAATAAAATTCAAATTTCCCCATTTTTAAATACTTCCATTTTTCGGAGGCACCGAAGAGAGAAAATACTTCGCAAAGATAACGTGATCACTTTTTTTACAACGAAAAGTGCACTCATTTGCTTACGTTCTTTGATGAGTGTGTAAAATCTAAACTTTTGAAATGGGAGTACAAAAATTTCACCACATCGGTTACTAAGCTCAGTAAATTGGTAACAATAAATTGCACAATAAAGTTTACGGTTGTACAATCATTAGGATGTATAGAGAGAGAGAAAGAGGGAATTATGAGGAATCAACCTGATTAGATCTCTGGTTGAAACTGCTGTTCGGTGCTTTTCAGTTTTTCCGTAAACGCCTCGTTTGCTCTGTTCGTGACGAAACCCACTACATTATTAATGCAACCGACGGTGGAACACAATTTTTCGGGGTAAATAGCGTTATTTTATCATTTACTTTTCTAAAATTGAACCTAAATTTTGCTGAATACGTAAGGATGTAAAGTTTATCGAATTATGTGCATTGCATAGCTTACTCCCCAGTTGAATCAACTTCTCACGCACTATTCGGCTCACAGAGTTCATTTTTTACATTTTCAATCTTGACGTTTCATTTATTCAATGGCTGTGTTGCGTTTATGCGTTATGCGCATCCGAATGTGTCTATTTGTATCACAATATATATATATATATTTGTTCAATGTGCTAAAGTTTAGGTGAAAATTAAATATGATTACAAATTAAATCAAAATATAATTTTATTTAATCATATTTAGATACGAGAATAAATAGCGTGACATAATGAAACGCACAATAGTGTTCTATGATAAATACTTTTAAAATAAAAGTAACAAGTTGCATTGAAGAGTTATTTCTCTCCAGAAAAAGAAAATAGAACTTCGGTGAAAAACCAACAACAATTTGAACGTGTTCAACACTTGTTAAACCTTATTCAATGTTCACTGGTTTTATTACCTTCACAGTATTAGTATGCATGGTGTCAATACCACAACAATAATAACAATAATAGGCGATGGATAGATACCAGTTTAGTTACATGAAAAACAACAATTTGTTTTGTGTGTTTCACCATAACTGATTTTCTGTTTTAGTGAATCAAAAATTCTGGATTCTCCCGAGGACGAAACCTGTACAAAATGGTCTATCCATGTGACAGTGGTGTGCCTTACTCGTGTGCCCCGGAAGTCGTGGATAAGCATGGCATGAATAGGTGTGCGATGATTGGGATCTTGCGGAATATGCGCGCCTGGTGCTGATTACACCACCGCGTTGCTCCATAATTACTCACACCAACCAGTGAAGGATGCAACAACTTATTTCGCTAGATGCTACTCCATTTATTGTGTTATGGCTTGATTATTTTACATATCTTTGTGGTTTTACTGCGTTTTAATTTAGATTTTACCATTATTAAAACTTTTACGAGTGATACAGATCTCAAAGTTTGGAAGAAAATGCAGAAATGGGAGAGTTCCAATGGCGATACCTTTGTTACCT